ACAGAGAGAGACAGAGACAGAGAGAGTGAGAGACAGAGAGAGAGAGAGAGAGAGAGAGAGAGAGAGAGAGAGAGAGAGAGACAGAGAGAGTGAGAGACAGAGAGAGTGAGAGACAGAGAGAGAGAGAGAGAGAGAGAGACAGAGAGAGTGAGAGACAGAGAGAGAGACTTTAGATCTGTGTGTGTCAGGCCCATTTGCCAACCATTTTCTTCCCATTTTAAAACCCTTTGTCCAGTTTAGATGGGAGAAGTTGATATTATGTGATATTGATCTGGGAAGACTACATTTCTAAATCATTTTTAACTGTGCTTTTATTCACAAGTTATTGATCTTATTTACTCTCGACGTATCTTGATTTAAGAATGGGGCTGTGTTTAAGGGCATATTTTTGCAATGACTCTGTTCCATCCCATTTTGAGAAATGAACTACATTAGTATTTATCAAAAGAATAAGAAGTTGTGTAAAAGTAGACTTCCTTCCCTAAGCTATTGAGTTGAGCATTAATCTGAAATGTATACTCATAAGTAGACATAAAGGAGTGCATTTCTATAGAAATATTTATTTAATCTGAAAAACAACATTAAAAAAAGTCTGTTTTTACAGCAGAGATGAACATGTTTACAGCTTGGTACAAAACAAACAAATAGGTGTGATTAGCTCATGTCTCGATGGACACACACTGTACGGGGGGGTGAATGTTTTGATGACTCATCAGTTTTGATTTGATGAAGGATAAGAGTTATTCACAATAAGGCGTGTAGCTGACCAGCTTGACAGGCGGGCGCGGTGTAACGGTTTGTCAAAAGGCTTAAAACCCGTCTCAGCTCCAGCTCTCAGCCTGTGGCTGACATCACTCAGGCCATCCGGGGGAGACCTCCCTCACAGCAAGCTGTTGAAGAGAACCAACTGAAGTCCACCCCAGAAGAACCAACAAATACAGATGTTGTTGAGGCTCAGGTTTCTTCCTCAGTCTCTGCAGCTCTCTGGGCACCTCGACGGACAAGTCACCAATAATCCACACTGTGTCTATAGGAGAAATACAAAGGTGTTCAATTAATGCCTCAGACAACATGTACAGTTAACTACATGTGACAGCTCAGGCTGTTTTTTTGTTATTAGCCACATCTGCAGGAATAATATTGAACAAGGTAGCTGCAACTCATCATAATAGATGCCAGTCTTAAATACTATTTTTTCTAATACTTAAAGTTTTTGGTGTGAAGCTGACACTGTCCACAGACTCCATGACTTCACGGGGTTCAATAGAAAACAAATATCTTATAATAAATACTAAATAATTATTTTTCAATTGTCATGTTCACCTCATCGCTGTTGACATCAGTAAATATAAAACACAGACATTCCTCTTTTTGTCAGAACAGTAACATGAACTGTATGCTTTGTAATATTGATTTCTTCTGGATGTCTCATTTATTTACAGTCTATGGATAAAACTTTGTTCATGTATTTCTCTGCTAACACTGACAAAGTCTAACTGCTCTGACAAATAACTCATAAACATAATTGTATATTTAAAAAAGTGTAGTTTTAAGACTTTAATTAAATATTTGTGTTGAATATAATTCGTTTTAACTGTGTTGTAGAAAAGTTAAATGTTAACTTACTGTTTGTAGAGTTTTCTCAGGACGAGCAGGAATAGGGGATGATAGCAGCCTAGCTGTTAGCTATGCTGTGAAGTGGACTGCTAACGTCGAGCTGAATGGGCGGAGCTAAGTCCCGCCGGTCCCGCCTTACTGCTGTCGCTAGGTTGATCCGAAGTTAGGTTGAGACTGCAAATCCAATATGGATGCGGCCGTCGATTGGACTCATTTTCTGCCTATGTCACAGATGGGTCAGGGCTCGTCCAGTAATATTTACAGTCTATGGTCAGGCCACAGCACAGTTTGCACTCGTTCACATGTAACAGAGTTAAAATGCACTTTATTTTGAGTACAGTTTACAATTTATACTTCAGATTTCTGTTAAGTATTTGTGAATTTTATCTTAACGAGTTATGTATATTTACTGTTATTTTATTAAATTTATTTTTCCTTTGAGAATTACCTTTTTGGCACTTTGCAGCTTCTGTACCTCCTGGGTTACCGTAGCTCCTTCCGTCTGTCCCTCACAGTGCCGTTTTGCATTGCTGAGGTTAAGTTGTATGTAAAAACGTTGCTGCATCATTATCTTATTTACTGTGGAAAATCAGTGATTTAAGTTTTGATGTTCGGTTTATTTTATAAACTGATAGTAATACGATGTTAATCAGTCATTTTGTTTAGGTTTGTTTAGGTTTAGGAATGTAGCGGTTTTGGCGCGAATTGTGTAATATCCTACAGCGCTTGTGTAACGTGATTGACGTAGTGCCGCAGATATTCTCAGTTAAAATAATATTTATTTTGCATGTGTAGGAGCCGAGGTGCAGAAAACGAATGTCCAGAAGGCACATTGAATGTTCTTTTGTCTTCTGCAGGTATGTTTTTCTTTGTATTTTCATACTTTCTGTTTTGTTTTACAGCCGCATGTTGTCGTTTATTTTGTCCACTAGGTGTCACTGTTTTACCATTTGGTATACTGTTTCTCATGTTTTTTTACTGAGATTTATTGTTAATATACACTGTAAAACCGAAGTTTTTCAGCCATTTGTAGCAGCTCTTGGTTATAAATATTTACATATAGTTAAGATATTGAAATGATGATTGTAATGTATTTCTATGTAATATAAATGTGTTTTGAGCTCTGACAGTGCCGTTTTGCATTGCTGAGGGAGCAGAGGTCCAGAAAACAAATGTCCAGAAGGCACATTGAATGTTCTTTTGTCTTCTGCAGAAAATAAATGCTGGAAAACAGTCAAAGTCTGATTTTCTTCACCCCCTGACCACATCTGTTACACACAGATAAAACCTGCTCACATGAATAAGTTATCACAAACACACAGAGTGTCTTTGATGCAAGACCGAAGTCATCTTCAGGTATTTTTAGTAGTAGGCATTATAAAATGATGACATGTTTCCAAACCAACAGACTTGAATTGATCCTTCAGCGTTGCACAGCAGTCTGATCAGCTCCGTGTGGAGTTCAACTTCAACTAAGTAAACTCAGTTAAACCACTTTTGATATGAGTCTGGCAGTCCGTTCTTCTTCGTGTCCGTACTATCGTGATCTAACTCTGTCACTGACTTTTTATGCGTCATGAATCTGTGCCATCTCCGTGCGTAATTCAAGGAAGCATTTTAATGCAGCTCCTTGGTTAAACCAGCGGACCTCTGTATGATTGGACAGCCTGTGCGTGATATCGTTTTTGGATAAGAAGGAAATGTTCAGTAATAGTTATATATTTACAGTCTGATGAAAGCTGGTGATAAAGGCGCAACAGCAGGCTACTGCATTTAGAAGTGATGTCACGCTGAAACTTTTAGGTAATCAACACAACACGTTCACCTCTGGGTGACCTAAAAATGAACCATCTGTAATTAAAATCAGTTAATATTCATTTTAATTTACTGTTTTTACAATAACCAGAGGTAAAATAAGTCGGGAGATGCATCAGGCTCAACGTCTGGATGTGTGGAGACGGTCTGGGCCATTACGCATGGCGGAGAGGATTTTGTGGCTCACTACATAGGAAGCTTTGTGATTATCAGCCAAAACTTTTGTGTAGTGGCTTGATCTTGCGTATCAAAAGTTTGAGCCACTGAGGGGCTGATAGCCTACCGCACTTAATTGACGCGCTGTTTATCAACTCCGTGCTGTCACACTCAAAACGGGTTTATCTGAATCGTTCATTTACAATACATATTCTGGTTGTCTACATACACTTATTCCACTATAACTTGAATGTAAAACAAAGCCAGGATAAATGTTCCATTCACGATACATTTCAACAGCGGTCAAAAACTGAGTGCCTCTCATGGTGGGCTGCTCACCTGTCTGTGATTAACTCTTCCTCTACTTGTAACCTTCCCAACACCAAAGTGAATGTGCCCCCTACTGTCACCACAAGGAACTACCACAGAGCACACATACATACTGAACACACAAATGGCTCTAACATTTTGTTTTCCATCAGTCAAGACAGGAGAAACTGGAAAGAAGTGTGGACAGAACTGAAGACCGTCAGGATGCGCGCGCAGTGCAGCAGTTAAGTCCCGTAGCTTTGATGAAATTCTGGCAACTTGTGAGCAAATAAAACTAAAGAAAGATCGCTCCTTCGATCTCTTGAAAACCTGCATTCTGTGTCACTTCTTTCAGGTGTTCAGCCTGTTTGCTGATGTGATGTATTACCAGCGTAATGCAGGAGCAGCTTGTGATACTCCCTGCTGAGAAAATAGTGCCCCGTTTAATTAATATTCGTATCATGATATCAACCTTTACGTTGCTCATTTTACATAGGTTTTAATACAATTCAGGGAAAATCCGTATTACAAATATTTAATTTATAAAAAATCCCAAAATATTTTTCAATACATTGCCCCCTTCTTCCCAAAACGTCTCGCGGGCCGGATGAAACCTGCTGTTGCGCCGGATACGGCCCGTGGGCCGTATGTTTGACATCCCTGCATAAAGCCTAATATTGTTGCAACGGACTCTGTTTTCCATATCATCACATTTAGCAGTCAAAGTAGCCTCTCTTCTTAGCAAGTAGCCCATAGCCTTCTCCTGTTGCTCACCCTGTTCTCTGCTTCGGTTAGCCTTTTCTCCAGACCCTCCATTTGTTCTATCTCCATGGATGATTCCAGTCTGTTTAGGGAAAGTTTTGTATCCCGAAAAGAGTCATTATTCTCTTGTCGAAGTTTCCTCAACTCCGTTAGCATCTCCGTTTCAGTGGCGTAGCTTCTGCTAACGTTAGCTGCTTCGAAGCTGCTTTCATATCGTCATTCTTTACTGATTCTGTGTCTTTCTTGATCGTTCTCTGACTCAAACTCATCTTTTTAGAGGGTGTACCATGTAGTCTGGTGATCATTTGTCGGTTTTCATCCATTTCAAGGCTGTTTTAGTCATGGGTCTGGCGGAGCGGATAAATTATTATTATTATTATGTTATTATGTTACTTTTAATAATTTTATTCCTGTTTCCTGTTTTCTTTAGCTGTTGTAATGGTTGTAACGCAAAAAATTTCCCCATGGGGATCAATAAAGTTTATCTTCTAATTCTTCTTTTTGAGTCTTCAAAGACTGAAAATAAGAAGCTTTACATGTTTTGTAATATAACAGTGGATATTATTATTGGAGATATAAAAGATAAATACATTTCTTTCTTTCCTGTGTTTGTATATGCAAACCGGATGCCAAAGTCAGTGCCCTAGTGCCCCCCCTCCCAGTCAGAAAAGTCTGGACACGCCCCTGATATCTAATCTCAGTTATAGATTCAGACTGTGGTACACTCTTGGTACACTGCAGTAGGTAAACACAGACTACTTACTCCTGCGTGTGTGCATTGTGCTTTTATTTTGAAGGTTAGGGACGTGAACCGGAACTCCCATCATAATATTACAGTCATTATTGTGAGTGGTTACGTCTGACAGTTTTACCTGAGTCCTGTTCCCAGAGAGTGTTGTGTAGCGCAATTTTAACTTAACACATCAAACAGCTGTCCAAATGGAGACAGTGAAAAGTGTCCTCGGGTTTGAGTGGATGGATGGAAGAAGTTTTCTGATATTTTTGTGTGTTTTTGTGCTTTTTGCCGACTTTTGGAAGAACAGAGTCCCAACAAACTTTCCCCCGGACCGTGGCCTCTTCCGTTGATCGGGGACCTTCATCGCATCCGACCTGCCAGGCTTCATCTGCAGTTCACAGAGGTGAGTTCATGCATTATCACATCACATAGGTCTAAAAAATTCAATCTCCTCAGCTTGATTTTTTTAGGGATTAAAAAATAAAGATGTTTGTGCAAAGTCATCGTTTAAAGTTCTTAGAAGATTGCATGTGTTGGGGTTTTATCAAGTCAAATTTGGTTATATTATTAATAATTATATTTGATTACTTATTAATATAAATAACAATGTTATTAAACTATGTTTAATTGACTCAGTGGTTGACCCTGAAACCAGGGAAAAATAACCAAAATATCACTAAAATCAGTCTCAAATTAGTTATTTAATTACTGTCTCATATTATTAATAATTAATAACTATATTTAATAAATTGAAGGCATGAAATTTGTACACAAAACCCTCGCACCCAGCTTATATCACAATGCAAATACACCAGTAATCACAAACAGCTGCTCTCTTAAATTATAACAGAATTTATTTAAACAAAGCAACATCAATCCAAAATCAATATGTGGATGAGAGAGAGAGAGAAAACAAGATGGTGGAGAGAGACAATGCATCATGTGTTACTTAAACACCAGAAAGCCAGTGGCCGGACTTTGAGTCAACGGCGGGTACACTGGTCTTTCTGATTGTGAAAGCCATTGACTGAAGGTTAACTAGCATAGCATTACACACATAGGCACATTGACTGGCAGCGCGTCTCTGTGTGATTAGGCCCTAAGAAGGGAAATGAAAAATCAGCGTCAGCCAAGTGAGTGTTTGTGGTGTCATGGTTTCATCTGAACACCTGTCTGCTCTGTGTTCTCAGTTTGCAGAGAAATATGGAAAGATTTTCAGCCTGCGGCTCTTCGGTGGAAGAGTTGTGGTCATCAATGGATACAAGCTTGTGAGAGAGGCCCTGGTCCAAAAAGGGGAGGACTACGTCGATCGCCCGGTCGTACCTCTTTTTGATGAAATGGTTGGAAACAGAGGTAGTGTGTTTTCTGTTGTGTCACTGTTAGTTATACTGATCTCCATGTACTCTCAGCCTAATCCTCTGGTGTCTCTAAAAGGTCTGGTGATGTCAAACGGCAATCTATGGAAGCAACAGAGGAGATTCGCTCTTCACACTCTCAGGAACTTTGGAGTGGGCAAGAAGACCCTGGAGCCATCCATCCAGCAGGAGAGCCAATATCTCACTGAGGCTTTTGCCAATCACAAAGGCAATAAAAATAAACATTTTTAAACATCGGCAACTGACATGCTTAGGACTCTGAACTAGTAGACTTTGTAGTAACCTTTATTAATATTTAATAACTAGACATGTCATTTCGCCTACCCTTAAACTTTGTCACAAAGAAGCACCAACACCTTGCAGTGGTGGACTATAAACCCCAGATCATCTACATGTGACTCTAAATCCCTGCTTCATTATCTTAAGGACCAGACCTGTTTACTTGATTTTTACGAGGCTGGTACTCAGTATTTACAGAATCTGATAACAACCTGTTTGTTTTACATAATCAAAATGATATCAAATCCATAATTGTTCTTATCTACTTTTTACCTGGCAGGACATCCTTTTAATGCCCAGCAGCTGATATCCAACGCTGTGTCCAACATCATCTGCTGCCTGGTGTTTGGGGATCGCTACGAGTACACTGACAAGCTGTTCCAGAGTATTCTTCAGGACTTCAATGAGATTGTGTTCTTAGAGGGAAGTCCAAGTGTACAGGTGAGCTTCATGTGTAAAAAAGATACAGTAAACTGTTTTTTGATCAGGATTAATCCATCCCTTAATAGTCAATGGGTTATTTTAACTTATTCTAACTTCAAACAAACATAAAAAGCCATTAAAGAAAATAACCAGTGTACTCATTAAAACAAAGATCCCTGCACACGATCGACAAATTAAGTGAAATAAGTGGTAATTTTAACAAATATACTTCAAATATTTGTGCAATAAAATGCCAGATCTGAATATTGTAACATTTACCTTTATTTAAGACATTGTTTTTGTCCCAGTAGACACTTTGACAGATTGTAAATATGGGCTCAGACATATTGCACCAGTAATGACATTTGGAGGCAGGACATGTGCAGGAGGGATCTGGATGGAAGAGCCACTGAATTCACCTCCACTAACCAAAGCACACACTTAACTTACTAATAAACCTGCAAAGATCCGAAGTTCATTGACTCTTGTTTTAGTGTTCATTATGTTTCCTCTGGCTGTTTCCCCTCTGCTCTGCTAATCCCCTAAAGAAAGCTGTTCCTTTAGCATTAAACAGCATGATGGCTATGATGACAGGAACCATAACGTGTTCTTTAAAGGAGCAATATGTAACTCTGACACCTAGTGTTTAAAATGGGTACTGCAGTCCAAATTTAAAACATTGTAGAGAGCTGTCTCTCCCCCCCCTCCTCTCTAGGTTTGCCATGTGGTGGACACTGAAGTTTCAGTGTTTAGCCAGCTCTGCATGGGTCTGTAAACCTTTCTGCGTTCTAACCTGTTGAAAGTGTATGTAAAACCAGTTCAA